AACCCAGTCCAGGTGGCCAGAGAGTCATAACATCAGAAGTTCCTAGCTGGGAAAGGCAGCCAAGAACAGTATCCAAAACATCATTAGGCTTGGGAAAGAAATCACGTGGTGGATGATGGACAGCAAGGGGCTGGGTTAACAAACATCATACACATAACATCCAATCAACATAATGTTAACACCCAGAAGGTGGAGAAAGGGCAGGGCTGAGAAATCCCTTTGTCTAGAATTGTTTATATTTCTTGCCTATTTTCCTGTTTGTGTGTATGTTCGCAATGGATCTAACTAAGAAGTTAATTTCTGGAGTTTAATATGCTTATATTGCTTTTATAATGTAACTTCTGGATCTGGAAACATGGATTTGTAACTCTTTTGTTCAACCACATCAACATAATGTGATCCTATGATGGACTGTATTTTTCTTTGCTTATTTTTACCTTTTGAAACAATAAAGCTTTACTTTTAGAAGTTTGGATTTTTCCCTGGCTCTGCCTGATTTTCAAGCACACCACACCAATAAAATTCAAGAATTCAATTGTCCAGCTATCACATCCCTACATGGTAATGGGAAATACAATTGCTTAGACTAGCCTAACTTTAGTGTTCAGTTTTATGTCTTTGTTCTATAGGATCTTGTCTAGTTCTTTCATAGCTGCTCTTCCCAATCTTATTTCTTGACTGCAGTCTCTATTCTGATCAATGATTGATCCAAGGTATGGGAACTTTTTAAATATTTCTATTTCTGTGTCATCTAGAGAGCTATTGAAACATTTTGTTGTTGTTTTTGTACTCTGCCTTCAAAGTTGACTCTGACTTATCGTGATCTACTACAGGGCCTAAATACGCCTAAAGGCACCAAATTGCATCTGACCTTAGAAGCTAAGCAGGGTCAGCCCTGGGTAGAATTTGGATTGGAGTACACCAATGAATACCAGGGACCGTAGGCTATATTTTAGAGAAAGGAACCAGCAAAACCATCTTTGAGGATTCCTTGCCTAAGAAAACCCTATGAAATTAATAAGTCAACAGGCAACTTGAAGTAATGCACACACATTACAGAATCACTTGACAAGTTTCAGAGGAGGTTTGTCATTGCCTTCCTCTGAGGCTGAGAGAGTGTGACTTGCCCAAGGTTACTCATGCAGTAAGTGGGGATCCCTACTGAGCATAGATTCAAACACTTGTGTCCTTGATGCTTAGACCAATATTCAAACCACAACATTACACTGGCTCTATGAACCATTTACTGAATGGTAGCATGTATGAAGCTTCTATTGATTCAGTGGGTTTACTGTAGTTGGAACTAGTAGTTGGATGTAGGCCTTTGTCAGCACACATTTGGTAGGTATGAAGCAACCAGCAGAATCAGCATGTTACAAAAATAGGCTCAGAAATGCAATGGTCCCTTTTTCGTGATTAAAGCCATTTCTGGCAGTCATTGAAAATGTCACATATTACATGCTCATTTCCTTCAGCCTACTCTTTTCTATTTTTAATAGTGTTTTTCTTAAAATGGTCATGGACACACACACACATTCACCCTAAAGAAGCAGCCCTGGGAAAGGAATGTTATAAACACTGGCCTGAAATAAAATTAATGCATTCCTTTTTGTTGGGACATTTTCCATTCAAAATGGCCAGCTTTTTTTTCCAGCACAGTCACTGCATGCTGTCTGTTCACTGATGTAATATTACAAAAAGCTTTGCCTTTTGTCTTGTCTCTGTCATATGATGAATACCAGGTTTGTGCTTAATCAGATTTGCTAAATGAGGAAAATTTGCAACTTTTAGTATCTCTTGAACATTTGCATTTTAGGGAAAGGTCTTGACAGAAGCCAACTCTTGCAAAATTAGTGGTTCCACATCTCAGGGTGCCATCTGAAGGGTCAGGGAACTCTGTGCTTCTCCCAAGCAGGGAGACAAATCTCAAGGTAAAAAGCCTTGAACGAGGAGAAAGTCTGGTTTTATTGTGGCTCTCTGGACCTCATCTCCCTGTTTCTTACTGTTTCCAGGATTCCTTGGCTCAGTGCAATGGTTTTTTGTATGTGAGCTGTGTTTGTGCAAGCACTGACACCCCCCCCCAAAAAAAAAACAGGACTTGGGGAAGGAGGGTGTCAAGAGACTCATGGGTGTATCCACTTGGGCTCCTTCTCACTTTCTCCTCGTAACAGCCATATAAATTAGGACAGGTTGTGAGTGTGGGTTCCCAGTGTACTTTATCTCTTCTGTACTCCTCCAGTAGTTTAATAATAATAATAATAATAATAATAATAATAATAATAATAATAAATTTTATTTTTAACCTGCCCCTCTGCAAGGCAATCGAGGTGGCATACAAATTAAAACATACATCAGTTAAAACAATTCTGTCCCCCCGAATCCCTAACCCACCCACCCCATAAAAATCGAATTAAACCAGTAGAATAGTTAAAATATCAGACTAAAACAATTCAATAGCTTAAACCTAAACAAACAAGGGTGGCTGGGAGCAGTGTCCACCCAACTCTGTTAGGGTGGGAGAGTTATTCTGGGAAGCCCTGCTGGAAGAGATCCATCTTTACTGCTTTTTTAAAGCAGTCAAGAGTGCTAATAAGACGGATCTCCTCAGGCAGGCCATTCCATAATCTTTAGGTTTACTGCTTAAAACTAAAATTATTGTATTTGTTTTTATAATATATATATATATATATATATATATATATATATATATATATATATTCTGCCTTTCTCCCAAAATGGGACCCAAGATGGCCTCTAAAAGCAACAAATGAAAAATGTTTACAATATTTTTTTAAAAAAAATTAAAACCACACATTAAACACTATAATCATTTAAAAGCCATACAAAAGTTAAAACAAACAAAACATACAAATAAATAAAAACCTTTCTGGCTCAACAATTGAAAATCTGCTTAAACGAAAACATCTTTGAATGTCGACAAAAGAAGAGCATGGAGGGGGCCAGCCTAGCCTCCCATGGGAGGGAGTTCAGGAAGGTGGGAGAAACCACTGAGAAGGCTCTCTTGTGTCCTCACCAAGCAAGCTTCTTTCACATAAAAATCTGCCATGTTTCTGTTCTCTGTTGACTGGATATTTCACCTAAGGAAATGAACAGATCTCTGTGCTGCAGTCAGACTTGTGTTTCAGTAATGGAGACCAGTCATTGCTTCTTTGTCCCAGGAAGCAGTGCTAGCTGTAACCTGATGCCCACACAACTACCAGGTACTCAATCAGTCTGTGACCTCCATCTTTGGAACTGAGGTTAACTGCATACCTCTTGGACCAAAATGTCAGGACTATTAAGTTTCTCCCACCCACTCACATTTTTTCATGCCACCTAGTCTGATTATGGTTCTTGATAAGAAGCATGCTCACTTTTGTGCCATTTTAGTTGGTCCTAAAAAGAGTATTCATTAGCTAACTGGATTTCTTTAATATAATAGCATATGAGTTCCTGCCTTTGGCTGCATTTGGTGGACTGGCATAGTTCAAAGATGGAAACTAAACCTCAATTTAACCTTTAAAAAAAAGAAAGAAAGCAAAACCTCACATCTCCTTCCATATATAATCTTTTCTGCCTATATACGGACTTTGCAATAGTTAGTGAAGACAAGTGAAAAATGAAAAAACTCCAGGATATGTTTAATTTCTAGTCCCCAACTCCTGCTATGACATGTTTGCTATGGGATGATTTCAAATCTTGTAATGGTACAAATTTAACTTTGAGAGAGGCTTAATATACCAGAACACTGAAGCTTTAGGGCTGGTCTGGAATTAGTCCGACCTCTTCCCTGCCAAAGGAAAGGAGAAAGATTGATTGTTATTATTATTTGTCCCTCTCTCCCTCCCGTCCCCCTCTTTTAATTGCCTTGCTTAATTCTTTCCCATTTCAAAATAACATGGAGGAAAGATGGGAGGTGGTCATTTGTTTTCTTAAATTAACATACATTGCAAATTTATGGGCCAGATGACTAGCTTTGAAAAGGGAGTCCTTGTGTGTTTGGGAATGTCTGGTGGAGGGAAAGTGGAGCTGGCATATGTTAGCTGTGAACTTCTGCACTCAGTCTCTCTTCCTTTAAAAAAAAAAGGGGGGGGAAGGGGAAATATCCTAAGTTGTCTTTGCAGCTGGGTACAAAGATTTCTTTCTTTGCTCTCATTTACTTCTGAACACTTGGAACATGGTAATAAAAAAGTGGAAACACAGAATAAGCCAAATATAGCCAAGTCCCTTTAAAAAAAAAATTACAAACATCCCCTTGAAGTTAATGGCAAAGCTCTCATTGATTTTAATGGTTTCTGGATTGAACCCACAGTCTTCAGTGCAAAAGCAACATTTAACCTAAGAGGAACTGTATATTATATTATGGGGCCCAGGAACCATTAACAGCTGGCCCTGCTGCAAAGATTTTGGTTATATGAACCTGCCCCAAAAATCTTATGATGAATTCCCACATTCATTCTTGGAGTCTGAACTAGCACACATTCTACTGCAAGAGCTATTTGGATTCAGAACAGAGACTGGGCTCTCTCTCGCTTTCTCTAGGGGGAAGGGGATATATTTGGTGCCTTTTTAAAAAAATCTATTTCCTTGGGTTGCCAACACTATTTTTCACCATTAGTATCATCAGCATTACCATCCCAGGTTACAAACACCAAATTCTGCATGCATCTGTCTGTCTATCTAGAACTAGGTGTCTATGCATACATGTAGAAGTATGAAAGCAAAATAAGTGAATAAATAATGGAGGCAATGAACAGGAAAGGCACTTGTAATGAAAAGGTGGTTTAGATGAAATAGGGTGTGAGGTGTAGAGATGGTGGTCAACTGTGAGGCTAGTGGTTTGTTGTTGGGTACCTTCAGGTCATTTCAAACTTATGGTAACTCTAAGGCAAACCTATCATGGGGTATTTTCGGCAAGTCTCTTCAGAGGGGGGTTTGCCATTGCCATCCTCTGAGACTGAAGTAGTGTGACTTGTCCAAGGTCATCCAGTGGGTTTCTATGGCAAAACTGGAATTTGAACCCTGGCCTTGAGAGTCCTAGTCCAACACTCAACCCATTATACCATGCTGGCTCTCTACTAGAGGCTAATGGTAGCTGGACAGAATGGCAGTAAAGCAAGGGCAGAGCAGAATAATTGGCTTAGTTCAAAGCATAAACTCTACTTTCTGGAAGGATTCTGATCTGAGATACAAATCAACCATTTGGGAGGAAATGTAAGCATTACTCATAGTCTTTTCTCTTACTGCTTAGGAAGGACAGATATCACAGGTCACCTGAAAACTGTGGGTTTTAGGTAGTTTTTGAGTTAAGCTGTGGCTGCAAGGTTCTTAGAGTAATTCAATTGAGATATGCTAAAAAGCTGTGTGCAGAAGAAAGGAGGTGGGATGTTAATCCAGTCATGAATGTGACCTTTATATTGCATCAGACCATTGGAAGAATATATACCGGTAGTTTATTCTACCACCCTCAATGTTCTAGGTTACATCCTGCTATGTGTACAGATTAGGTTTCAATGTCAGGAAGTCTCCAGCTCTGCTATCTAGATTTCAATAAATTGTACTGAATTAGTACTGAATTAGGGTCACTGCTGATTTTCTGAGAGGTTTCTCTTCTTTCACAAGCAGATACCACTTCATTCTATCCATGCTAGAAGTCATTTTAGCTGCTGAATTTGCCAAGTGATGAAGGGTCAGAATTTCATTTCATTTGTTTTGAAGAATTTGCCAAAATTAGCAGATTTCTTTATATGCAAGATTAAAAAAAACAACACCTTGCTGCATTAAAACAACAACAACCCTAATTTCTAATTGGAAATTCTTCTATGTCCAGAGTCTATTTTTATCAAGCTTATTCACTTCTGACATTGCTTCCATATGCATTTTCTGCCATTATAACCTGACACTCTTTTACACTACACAGTTGTAACACTGTGATTCCTCCTCTTTATAGAATCCTGGGATTTCTGGATTGGTGAAACCTTAGGGGAGTTGTATGCCTGAAAATTCCAGATACTCCCTCCCTAAACTGCAAATCTATTCCATAGGATTATTCTGTGGCTGTTAAAGTTGAATCACAGCACTATAGCTATGTAGTTATACAAATGCTTCTCTGTTATAGAATAAGAACATAATTAACCTGTCAAGTTCAATTTGTTTTCTTACATTTGCTTCATTGTGTTTATGTAGTCGATTGTGAATTATCTCTTTTTTTACCCATAGGGCAATACTTGCACATTTTTGTGCATTTTAAGTGTTTGCTTATTGTTGTATCCATTTTTAAATGTGTACATTTATGAGCACATTCTTTTTACAAACTTATATAGTTGTATATCAAAGAAACAAAATGTGTCATAGCTGGAGGAAAGTAGGGGAGGGATTGGAAAGGCATCTGGTATATTTCAGTAGCCAGATGCAAAATGATGACACCATCCACTGAGACCTCTGTAGGAACCCAGTAGTCCTCAAGAGATAATGCAATAATTTCAAATTGGCTATGGGAACATAACCAGAGGCTTCTACAATCCCTTCCCATTCTCTAACAGCCACAGAATGGCTGGGTGGGGGGTGGATGCATCATCTCAACAGCAAGTCAATGGAGGGGGCTTTGATTATTGTGGGGTAGGGAGGAAGAGAATATCACCAATAACCAAAAAAGATATATGCAGATGTAAGGTGGACCTATATCTGCATATGCTACTATTGGAAGCCAGCCTATGCCTGAAACACATACGAAGGTATATATTCTGGAAAAAAGTACACAAAAAAATCATTTTATTCTAGTCATTCCTTGAGTCACAGCTTTGGGGAATAGGTAGGGTATAAATAATTATCTTCTCTTAATTTTATGCATATCAGCAAGTAGCCAAGCTAACTGCCTCCTACCCAAGTGTATGCATATTGTAACATCACTTTAAAACCATTTCTTTTAACAATTAGGGTTATAACTTCAGCTGGCAAACTATCGGTCACCCATCAGCATCTGCAATGGTTGAACTATATATGTTTTTAAAGCAAGTGGAGATGGTAAGTTATTTTCTGATCAGCTGCTAATTCATCTCTCACATATGAATGCAGTAGCATTGTTAGTGCTACTGAGAGAGAATATATTTGAGGCACTAATTCCAATACACCTGTGTGCATTTATCTTCTTATCAGCTAACAAATGTTGAGAATTTGCAAGGGTTTCAGTGATCCCCTAGGCTAGAAGGTCTTGCAGTATTTTAACAAAATAGAGAAATACATGTGTGCAAAGAGGCCAAGAAATTTTACATCCATTTTGTACTAGCAGAAGAGCTAAGCGCATCTCACCTCATTGAAACTAATGCAATTTTCTAGATGAATAACACTTTATGGTAACTGAACTTCCTGAAGCAATTTGAGAAACTGAAGAAAGAAGTAAGTGGAGCTGTGTTAATGAACTTGATGTAATCAATCCTTAATTACACTGAAAGACCTTTACCTTGTCCTTAACCTCTTAACAAGCAAAATCCATATTATCCAATTTTGGCTCCAGATGCTTAATTGTACTACTAACTTAATCTCACAGGAGGCTGTCATTTTCATTCAACTTCATTAGAGACTACCCAGGTTGTCCAGACTGGGAAAATTGGAAAGTATTTCCTCTGAAATAACCCTCCCCAACTTCCCCCTACCCACCAAAGGAAACCTTCTGTTCCTCCTACCATAATGTTTATTCTTTTCAGAAGACTTTATTAAAATCTTCTAGAAATACTCCACATAGAGTTGTGTGTTCATGTGTGTGTGTATGTCTTTGTGCATGTCTCTGTTTTTTCAACTTTTAAAACTTTAGTCTGGTAATGTCACAAAAACAAATGTTTGGTTATGTGACAAAATTACTGAGGAAAACAGAGGGCTAACTCAGACTGAGGGCAAGACTTCAGGCATTTTGTCCTGCTTCAGAGCAAGTTACCAAAAGGTAAAAAGGTTATGCTGTGCACTACAATATATGAAGCCACAATCACTTTCAGCTCTATTCTGGTGGGAAAACCATTCTAACTCTCTTGGGTTTCCATCTTTTGGGGGCTGTGGTACTCTAGTGATTCAACATGTAATGGTGTCAGTTCAGTTTTAATTGAGAAGGAGCAAAATACCGGTAATTCCATTTGGCAGTGGGGCTAGAAATATAACAACATAATTGTTGTGCTGTCTTTCTGCCTTGTACAAGATTTGTTGTTGTGTACCTTCAAGTTGTTTCTGACTTATGGCAACCCTAAGGCAACTCTATCACTGGATTTTCTGAGACTGAGAGAATGTAACATGCCCAAAGTCACCCAAAGGGTTTCTATGGCCAAGAGGGGAACTGAAATCTGATCTTCAGAGTCCTAGTCCTACCCTCAGACTACTGCACCATGCTGGCTCTCATTATACCAGGTAAACAAACTCATATCCTGAGGACTGCAAAACACAGTTCATGTTCAATGTCCATATCTACATGAGCACTAGCCTTGTGAAATAGTAGATAATTTCTGATCTAACTATATTTGGAAATGGTTGATATAAAAGGAAAAATCTTACAGTTCTTAAAATGTTTATTTTGCTCTTATGTTAGGCTTCTTACTATGAAGGGCTAAGGACCTGATCATTGTGGTAGCAAGCTTGAAACTTATTTTATACTGAAGAGCAAGAGTAAGCAAAGCAATGGTTGAGATTTTTTCTCAGAACTGCAGAACATACAACACTGCATAGGAGGTTATGTGTTGAATGCCAACACTGAATAACTATGCCACCATTGTATGCATGATAATGTCACATGATGAAAAAGCACAATGGAAATGTTCAACCAAATGCACAAGTGTTATTATCATCATCTGCATCATCCAAGAATGCACATTCACATGTGCAACCCTACATCTGTGACCTTGAAATCAATGGAGATTTTAGGTATCAGATAAAAATGTCCAACTATTTCTATCAGGAGAAATAAATATGTATAAGACACCAGTATGATTCTAGCTAATGGGTTCACTTTGGGTGATGGGCTTATGAAAGATCATATGTTTCCCACTTCTTATTCATTGGGTCTTGCCCATGGTAGCACCTGAAAATCTACTGAGCATAATTGGGTTATGTTGCCACTCCCACATCTTCACCTAACCAGTTTTGGGTCACATGTGTCATGGCAATGTGTTCATCCTGAGTTGAATCCTTGCTTAATGTGCAAATCTAGATAATTGGCTGGACATTAAACAGCAGCATTTCATGACCAAACATATGTGGCCTCATCTGATTCTGGAAGCAAAAAGAGTCAGGACTGGTTAGTATTTGGATGGAAAACCAACAGAGACTATCAAGGATCTCCAAGTAGGAAAGGGTCTTGCCTAAAGCCCTGGAGAGTCACTGCAAAACAGAGCTAATAGTACTCAATTAGATGGACCAATGGTTTGAGTCAGTATACGTTTCCCATTCTATGTGTGCTAGTGGAACAACAGCTAAATTAGGAAAGAGGAATGGAGTTGTGAATGGAGTCAAAGGCTACAGCTGCATTGTACAAAGGTTTGACAACTTTTTTAATACCATAGCCTAATGGTATGGAATTCTGGGAGTTATAATTTTTTGAGATATTTAGCTTTTTCTGTCAGAGAGCTCTGATGCCACACCAAACTACAGTTCCCAGAATTCTATAACATTGAGCCATAGCAGTTAAAGTGTTGTTAAACTATATTATTTCTGCAGTGCGGATGCAGCCAAAATCTCATGTGGCTTCAATGTGCACATTTCTATAGGACTTTCAGACCTTAAAGGGGAGAATATCTCTGCCATGCATTACCAAAAGTGCTACGAATTACTAACATCATTTCAACATAATGGAAATCAAATAAGGTTTTACTATTAGTTATGGACTATGGGGTAGTTCAGGTTATGGTTGATTAGGTAGTGGGTGGGGATGATGGTTGGGGTAGTGATGAGTTTAGGCTGGTAGTTAATAGTATAGGCTTTAGGCATAACTGGCTGTGAGTAGCTTGGGGGAATGGGAGGTGATGAGGCTGAGGTTGTTTTGGGAAACTGGGCCTCCTGGAATGCATGGTTGGGGGGAGGAGGTTGGTACTGCTGG